AAGGTGTTGTAAAAAGAAGTACAAACCCATACAGTTTTCTCGACGTATAATCGTAAGTTTCAAGTCACATAAATAGTAAATGTTAAAAATTGTTGCCTTCAGTATGGGCATTGAAATCTCACTTCACTTTATCAAAGTCGAATAAGATTTTCTTAATAAAATATATTAAGCCTAACGTGGTATTAACTAAGCGAAATTCAGTTACTTTGTATTAAGTGTAGAAAGATTCGGATTTCTCATATTATGTCTCAGATTTTAATCAATCAAACAAATACATCTTGCATCAGTAGAAGCTAGTTTACTGCTTTCCTTATAAGGATGACGCTTCTTGACTTGTTTAGGATTTCTAGAGAAAGTGTATTGCATTCATGCGAATGAATATGAAATGAAGTATTTATTTCTAGTAGCTGTAGCTGATCGAGTAATTTAAAAGTTGTGCAATAATTTGTCAGAAAATTCGTTTGAATGGATCTAGGATATTTTAGGCTGGCCACTTCGTTGTCTAAACTTTTACAATATTCAAGTATATCCATATACGATAGTCTTCGTGTTCTACTTGTTCCAAATTTTTAATTACAAACTTGGGTAACGAATAATTCTATGAAAGTGTAGTTGTTTAACTCTATAGTATATTGCTTAATATTAAAATTTATAATGATTAGGTTGATACAAAAGGAAAGGTAACATTGAGAAAATATGTGTATGTTGTTTGAAATGACGTAAATAATAAATTGCTTGAATCGAACATTTGTCAATAAATTGTTATTAATCAGAAGCACCAGATACGATTCAGAATGAATAATCAAATACGCTATGAATTCTATCTAGCTACTAGACCCAGTATTTAGGACCCATAAATTTTTTAGTGGGTAGACTGAAACATCGTCTTTGAAAAGAGGTAAAACAAATATCGTAGTTATGGGAGATTTTAGTCCGTTTAGAACTAGGAAGAAGGATACAAATGCAGAGTGAATGAATCCTGATTAATAGTTGTTTTTTTTAACTTGATCTACTGTTTTGTAGACAGATTTACAATAATGAAGTGAATGGCTGATGAACTAAATTTTTGATCAAACATGAATAACGTAAGAGACTAGTAATATATTTATTTTGTAGATTAAAAGTATAAAATAACAGTATGAAGGGGGATTCTTTTAAAAAGTTTAGTTATGACAGCGTTCATATTTTGAAAATTCATGTAACTTCACTAATGAACTGAGATACAATCTTTATTCTAAAGACTTTTAATGTAGCACCAGAGAGTAGTAAATTTTCTGTGTTCTTTCGCTTCATCCCTATCTTTCGAAAAGGAATAAAGTCCTGATATTACATCTGGATCTGTTCAGATGAATATAAAGTGATAATTACACAAAATAGAAAAAAGAAACAAACTTTATATAATATAGAGAGAAGTATACATTAGTTTTTCTTCTTATTTCCGATTTTTACTTCATGTTTATTTGAACTTTTATTTGATTGAGGTTTATCAGTTATTCATGCATAGAGATGCGTTGATAAGTATATACGTGACCAAATCAACTTCTCATTGTTCTATCAAAATTTATAAAATTGTCTAACTGTTTACGAAAAATTATTGTCATGTTACTAGGTACTTTTAGAAGAAGCTAGAAACAGTATTTTCTATGTGAACTGTCTTAGAGAATAAATCAAGTATCTAGGACGAAAAATATTAATCGTACATTAGCAAATATGCAGACTATATGTCTAATATTGATTATCTGGGACCAGTTAACCTATTTAAAGATAGGATTTAAGTTTTCGAATAGCAATGAGTTAAAACTCAGACATATTAAAAGCATAGATAGATAGTGACTGACAGTGGAATTCAGGACGCACGTTTCGTCCTTTTTGGGACTCGTTATCTGAATGTATCTGCATCCCAGAGAACTGTAAAGGGTTCCACTCACTCAGTGAACATCAACTCTGCGATGCATATAGATCCACCTAACGAGTCCCAAATAAGAGGAAACGCACGTCCTGAATTCCACTACTAGCCGCTATCCATCTTTTCTTATAATGATTGTGACTTTAGGCACTATCGAGTTAATCCTCAAAAGTTTTACGTATGCCAATAAGAGACTGATCTTAAACATCAATGGGAAGATTCGTATAAAAAAATATCAGGTCAATTCTGATATATTTTGTTGAAAATATTATACTACTTCACAGTTGATAAGTAGTTCAGTAACAAGTTACTACAGTTATAAATCGTCGCATTCATGCTTTTAGTATGTTGTGAAATGTTTATTTGTGATAAATTGCACAGAACTATCTATTTTATGAATCATCTTAAGGTACGTTATTGTTATAGTAGGATATCAGTTATTTTTTCGTGCTATATGCTTGATACCATTTCCTTTCATTCCACTTGTACTCATAATTGGACTTGTTAGTCACTTGGACATTATTGGCTCAATGATACTAAAAGCATTTTTTCATCTACTCTGAATTTCAGACAACCTAAATAAATTGTTAAAGGGTGGAGATGAGAAACTGGCGTGTTGTCAGGCTACGCATATGAATTTATTTGAACTGATATTCTGACACTATGAGCATAAGGTGACTGTATAGGTTAATGTTGTTTATACTCTACCTTCTGTTTATGAAACCATTTTCACCTTGATTTATCGTTTTCCAGTTCACTATAATAATGACTCAGCATTATTTATAGAAAACTGTGAACCGTTAGTATATTTGCGATAGTTAATGTAGTTTAACCCTTTGTAATGTAATCTTTTAGGATAGATAGTTTTCATAATATTATTTATTTCTAATAACGTAATTTTTGGTCGTAAATTTACGACTCTTTCTAGACTAGTTCACTGTTGGTAATTGGGAATTTCTATGTTTCTTTTGTAAGCAACTGGGTTTTTTTCATTTGTATACGCATAAGTAATGTAGGTAATAATAACTTAATTATTTACATGGATTTTCGCTAGGTTGAAGAATTTTCTAACAAACTTTGTATACGAAGTATAGTAAGACACACTGAATATAATTTTTTTAAACATTATTGTATTTCTATTCTATTTAAACCTAGAACTTTCGGATTTATTTAGTTTTTCGAGAGAAACTCGGATCCGACTGGTCATAGGAAATGCTTTGTTCGTTTACACTTCATGCAAATTGGTTGTTCGGATCTTACCATTGATGTTTGGGACTGCATTTGATGCAAGGATACAGGTACATCCAACTGATGAGTTTCAAATAGGACGAAAAGCGAGTCTTGAATTTTAGTACCAACCACCATCCATCTCTACTGCAAATCATTCATTTGTATTATAACTAAGTATAGGCTTATGTAGAGGTTTTTTCAGACCAATATTTTTATGCTATTCAGCATTTTACTTCTAATTTCCTAAACTAATATTTTTCAGAAAGAGAATTTTGTGAAGTTCTAGTGAGAAGCCATGACCAGTGAAGTTCAGTCGTGTCTGTTATGGGTCAGCAACTCTCTGAAAACAATAGTGGACGGTGGCGCAATTTCGTGGATTGGTTGAAGTTGAACATTAACGCCGCAGAATACTGCCTCAGTGATCTAAAGGTTAAGCTTAAGATCGAAAGCCCTTGGTCAGTGTCTCGTGGTTGGGATAGTGGATGCACACTGCTGAGGAGCACCATACTAGGACGAAATGACCGTCCAGTGCTTCCAGATTTACCATGGTGGTCTAGCTTTAATCGACTCATAATATTTTCTCTCAATTTAGCATTACAAGTACATTATCCATTTAACGAAGAGATATAAACAGAGAAAATCTGCCAAAAATGTGGTTGCTTGAGTAAATGAAGATGTTGTAAACATTGGAAACTTTTTAATGAGTTTATAGGTATCAATTTTACAAAATATTGAAGAATAAGAAAAAAAACCAAAGTTACTTTGGTGAATAAATCACATAGTGGAGTGATGATCAACGATTCCAATGATCAAAACTACTATTACAGTGAACTAAAATTTAGACATAGTATGTTGTTTTGCGATTATTATTTTCATTCCCAATTACTAATTTAGTATCATATAAGTAACTAGTAATCATACTGTTTTGTTTGAAACTTTTCTAATATAAATAGTCGCTTTATTTTATAAATTTGAATGGTAAGTTATTTGATAAGTAGTTCGATATATGGAAATTTACTTTTTTATTCTCAATCATTCTATCAATTTTGTTGGCTACTTACGATATCATCAGGTATTCGTCCAATTGTTAACGCATAAATTGTATTTATTTAAAAGAACTACGCTTTGAATAGATTCATGCTATCCCGTTTATTTCTATTTGGAGATTGGACAAAGTGGTCTGTACTTTACAAATAGCAATTATTCACTTGGTGCTGTTTTACTTGCATCTACCCATTGTTATTTAGGACTACAATTGATCCGTCTCATGTTGACATATATGCATCATGTGTGGATTGTCTCGTATAGCCTAAAGTCACAAGCTTTTTAAGCAAAGATGGATAGTGGCTAGCAGTGAAATCCAGGACGCGCATTTCGTCCCATTTGGGACTCGTCATGTGGATGCATCTGCATCGCTGAGTTGATGTTCGCTTCTGGACTCGAACCCAGTGCCGTTCGCTTTAAACGCCATCGCGTTATCTACTTAGCTACTGAGTCCTGACAGCCACCTGTTTGTGCAATCGGATGAATTTTAAATTCACTTGGTGTTTTTTTACTTGTATCTTCCTATTGTTATTTAGGACTGCAATTGTTCAGTCTCATTTAATTATTATTATTGCAATGTGATCCTTAGTTAACATTTTATTCTTTAAATACTTTCAATCAAATAGCCATGAGTAAAACAGTTTCACTAATGCATATTTTTGTATTTTTTTAATCAAACAAAAACACAACAGAAATGGTCATATTGAAATTGGTCAGTAAAGCTAAATGAAACGGTGTAAATATTTAAATAGATAGCAGAACAACTGCATATACAAATATAAATTAAAGATGTGATAAACTTAATTATTTATTATTTCTATCAATCACTGTTAATTGTTCTATAAAGACATTGTTGTTTAGCAAATGATTTATCCATACCAAGTTGTTCCCAGTTACATGGGTTTGTTTTAGTTTGTTTATCACCGCAAATAATTTGAGTATACTTTAAAGATGCCATGAATTTTGCTTGCTAGAATAAAAGTATAAAAATGTAAATAATTACAATTAGATTGAGAACAATAAACAATTTACATTACAATGAATAAATAATGAAATAAATGATTTCAATCATATTGAATTTTTAATAGGGTTAAATCTTTAACAATTACGGTACAGGCTTTGATAGTAAGTTTGTATTACTAGTTTTCACACAAATAGTACTGATGAAAGTTAAATTCATAAACTTACATAACTGATAAATAGTTCAAATTAATACTAATAGCCTCTGTGGAAATTATTATTTTTCAGGAGATCTTTGTATAAACAGTCAAGTGTTTTTGCGCTCTATAGAGACAATGACCAAATGTTCATGAGTACATCAGGTCAAGGTTCTGAAAAATAATTTAGTCATAAATCATAGGAAACCTATGAGTAGTGATAATTGTTTTGGCTATTAAGTCCTCCTCATACGCTAGTAGAAAACAATAGCAATAAAGTATTTCGAAAAATCTACTAATTATGAATTAGTAATATCAGGAATATAGGTTATACAATCACTGTTAATGAAAATAATGTTATTAATATCAATGTAAAGCTAATTTTAGTATTAATCATAATCGAAACTAATGAAGATGAAAGGATGAGACAAATATGTACTTCGAGGTTAAAATATGGGACTTAGAGATTTAAAACTAGTGAGATGGTTGGGACGTATATTCAGTATAGGGATTTGTGGAGATCGTTGAATATTGTTAGGATCATGAACCGACGTAAGTTGGACGATCAGAAAACACATTCAAGATCAATATTAATTTCGAACACAAAGCATTCTATATTTCAGAGAGTAAAACGTTCGTAATAGTCTGTATCAATAAGTATTTGTTACGACAGCATTAGTTTACCTCTTTTAATTAATCATATTTTTTAATAGTTCTCAATGTACACACCTAATTTATTCACTTCTTCATTTCATATTAAAAGTTATCTTGAAGCAATTCTTATCACTCCATGAATCTAAGTGTTAAACTTCTGTTAAGAAATTCAGAACTATACCAATTTTATTAGTTAAATATCATTTCTTTTGTAAGTCATGTATACAACATCTATGTCGTAATGAATTAGAATTTTATAAGGAGTATCCATTCATAAGGAAGGAAGTTCCTTCCTCTTTCTTCTGGTGGTCAACTGGATTATGAAGACCTCGACATCTGAGGGAAAACACGGAATACAATGGACAGCTCAGAATCAATTAGACGATTTAGACTTCACACATGACCTAGCCATCCTATCCCACACACACAAACTAATTCACATAAGGACAGCCAGTGTAGCAGCAGTCTCTAAATCAGTAGCCCTCAACACACACAAGGGGAAAACTTAAGTCCTCAAATACAGCACAGAGAACAGCAATCCAATCACTCTTGATGGTGAAACTGGAAGATGTAGAGTCCTTCACATACCTGGCAAGCATCATCGATGAACAAGGAGGTTCAGATGCAGACGTAAAGGCGAGGATTGGCAAAGCAAGGGTCGCATTCCTACAATTGAAGAACATATGGAACTCAAAATAACTTTCAACCAATATCAAAGTGAGAATCTTCAATACGAACGTCAAGGCAGTTCTACTCTACGGAGCTGAAACTCGGAGAACTACAACAACGACCATCAAGAAGGTACAAGTATTTATAAATAGTTGTCTACAGAAGATAATCAACATCCGTTGGCCGGATACCATCAGCAACAGCTTTCTGTGGGAGAGAACAAACCAGCTTCCAGCTGAAGAGGAAATTAGGAAAAGACTATGGAAATGGATAGGACATTACGCAAATCATCAAACTGCATCATGAGTCAAGCCCTAACTTGGAATCCTGAAGGGAAGCGAAAAAGAGGAAGGCCAAAGAACACATTACGTCGGGAAACAGAAGCAGATATGAAAAGGATGAATAACAACTGAAAGGAGCTGGAAAGGATTGCCCAGGACAGGGTTGGATGGAGAATGCTGGTGAGCGGCCTATTTTCCTTTAGGAGGAGTAACAGTCGTAAGTAAGTAAGTAATCCATTCATAAAATAAAAAGACAGTAATGAGATGTTGATTAACAAAAATATCAACTATAAATACTTACTTCTGGTGAAGAATTTTCCCAAACAAAATGATATGCATCAGTTTGAGAAGAAATTAAAAAATATTTTGTGGTTTCTTTAATTAATTCTTGATTAATTTTTGCGTTGTCAGCTCCTCTTAAAATAGAAATGTATCCTGTAGGACTAGAGAAAGATTTTTGATTGCCTATTGGCTTAGCCCATGTATAACAATTAATTGCAAAATCTAATATATCTGATATTAATCCAGGTGCATACATATCTTTTAAAATATTAACAGGTAGAACAAGATTAGCACCAACAATCTCATCAATTTTACCATTATTTCTCAAAGCAATCTAAAAACAAGTGAAAAGTTTATTTTTAAAAGAATCAGTATTCTGAAGAACTTCTTGCAGAACATCACGTTAAAAACTGAAGGAAAGATATGAAACTTTATTCAAATTATTCCATGCAAAATCATTTCACAAATGATGATTGATATGGAATAATCGATCTGATTATTTTGACCACATTTTGTTCATACATATATTAAATTTTTTTCAGTATTGACTTTCTGTTTATTCTGATGTTGAATTTATTGTTCGATGCGGATCTGAAACCCACAATTATTTTCTCTTACTGTGGTCTGTTCTATTGATGTCTACAGATATAAGTAGTGTGTATCATCAGTAGAAAGTGGAGTGCTTAGAGGCAGAACGTTGAAAAAATCGAAGAGAAGAGAACGAGAACAGAGAGTGATTGGTATGGAAATGAAGGAACAATAACGTTTGAGACAGTTGATGGACATTTTACAAATAAAGTATTTACTGTATGGTTGTCAGATTTTACCAAGATATTTTGTAATGTTGTATTAGGATACATTTGGTTTTTTCATTGGTGTTCTCGTTCACTGAATTACTATTGTTGCTTTTTGATAATAATACAGTCGAGTAGATCAATTATCATTTTTAGTCTAAACCATTTGATTTTCAGATGACTTTAACCTTCAACTAATCAAACTTATGACATAGCCTGAATTGTTTATAGGTATCTGATTAACATTGATTATTAATTGTCCAACAAAGTGAAATGAGAGTTTTTTTATCAGCAATCCCATTGTCTAGTAACGACGGCTATCAACCAGTGACATTACTTTCATTGTAAAATATATGTGAAGACGAATTGTCAAAGAACTCGTAAACTTTAGATTATTAAATTATATTAGAATGATGAGTGATTAATCCTAGTCAACCAACTTATGAATTTCCTTATTGTAAATATATGGAAATTATCAGCAAAGCATCTTATCATTTCTTGAATTCGTCTACACTTCTAATTATATCAGTTGTCAAAAATGAACAGTAAATGTAATATTATAGTTCTTTAGTGAATTCTTTAAATACTCAGTTCAATCGGTTGGGAATTATGAAACTGTAAGGGGAAACTATCATTTCAGTGACCTTAATCAATTTCAGAATGTTTGTGAATTCAGCTAGAATGTTAAAACAATACTGATATTGAAATTCAAAGAACAGTAAAACTCAATGATATAGTTAAAATTTATTTGACTAAATTCACATACTTACAGGAGACATATATTGATTGGCTTCTTTCCAAGCAAAATATATATGAGTGTATAAAGAATCTGATGATATTGAGAAGTTTCTGACTTTCATTTCTTTGGTTTGTGTTTGATTTGATAGATAGTCAACTAGACGTAATAATGGTACACTTGTTACTGTTTTAATAGTAAAATCTTTCGGCTGAATTTCACTGACGATTGATGTATCACTTAATTGTTGGTACGCAGTATTGATTGGAATTAGTAGTACTGATAGAATGGAAGCAACGATATTGTTTAGTTTATAAGGCATGTTAACTAGTTGTGATTACTCTGAAAGTTTCAAAATATTAAATTTGTAAATGTTAGATTATTCACAATAAAAATTGTATTCATTAAAGAATAATTTTGTGACCAACTCACCTTTGGACAGGAGAACGTTTGATAATATCGACGATACACAAAGTTTTCTTTATTTTCCTACCAGTTTACTTGTTATTATGTGTTCATGTGCACATAAGTTTACATTTTTGTCCCAATCAGAATTGGTTCATATTTGGAATTGGATAAAAAAAACAAAGATAACGTTTTATACTGCATTGGCTAATATATTTTAGCGTATTTCGCATTTCTTCTGTCTGTGAATAGTTTGTAACATTCAAACTTTTGTTTTGTGCTTTAAGTTTCAACCACAATCAAACTTTCATTAGTTGTCTGATATATTCTAATAAAATGGTTAATAGAAGTAGTGTTTTGGAAAAATTTGCACATTTCAAAGGTAAACTTTGTTATTAACTGACGTGCACTGGGTGTATATTTTTGAATAAATTTAAGCTAAATTCATGTAACTAACCGATATGCTTTACTTCATAAAGGTTGGTTTCCTGAAATCAGTTTCTGGTGAAAATTACTATCACAAAGTTAAACAGAATCTACCTAACGATAAGAATAACAGTAATAATAATGTTCATAGGACAAACAAAATAAAGTCTAATTTCAAGTTTGTATTCTTACTAGAGTTTTCATATCGGGAAATCGAATCACTTCATTTGTTAACCGTTCTTATGTAAGGAAATCACTATTCCATTTTGTTTATTTGAATAATGTAAACTTGGTTATCAGTTTTTCATTTAGTCATAGGAAGGACGAATTCAAATTGTTACTTTGAGCTTCAGAGAGTTTAGTTTGTAGAGATTCAGGGAAGGCTATCGGTACTTTTGTAGTACAAAACTGCTGACTGGTGAAGAAGTGAGATTTTTATAACTACTCATCATCAGCTGAATGTTATTACCAGCCAAGAATCCCCAGTATAGTGTCACATTTGGAACTCCTCAAAGGACCTCGCCAATGATCATACACATGATCTAACCTAGTAGATTAGGGTTTCATGGAGATCAAGTAAATTTGCATACTGTGAATAGAAATTATGGTCTCAGCAATTGAAATTTTAGTAGCTGAAATCATTTCGAATTCTGTCAAGCTATTTGTTCAAATATTGACGAATATTCATATAAAATCAAGTAGTTTGTCAACATTTAACCGATTCCAGTTTACACTTCATCCAGTTTCTAATGTAAATCAATCTGTACTTGATATTGTTAGCAAATTATGAAACTACATCTGATTTGATTTACTCTTAAGTCGGTAGCGGTGAAGTTAGTTTATAATGAAGAACTTCAACAACTTGAAACGACGTAATGTAAAGATGACATAAATAGATAAAGGCTTTAAAAGGATACGAGTTTTACTTAGGATTTAAGGTTAGGAAATCGGAGTACTATTGTTCGCTACGATTAGGCTTAGCACTTAGAATTAATTAAAGCTAATGGTAAAAAATCGAGAAAAGAAATGCTCTGTCGCCCGATATGGATGAGTAACTATGAAGTTAGTTTACAAATTTTAAATATCGTGAGCGTCAAAGTTACATTCGAAAATTTATAAATCATTGACGCCGCTTCGTAGTCTTCCAATGTTTGTCGATTTTTATCACTGTATGGACTGAATATTAGTAATCTTTACATCGTTTATAATAAGCTATCGGCCACAGTGCTTTGGATTTCAAAGAAAAATCGAATTATCATTATTACTTTTGGTTTGATTGGTTCCTGAATATTAGTCATTATTCAGTAAATAACTATGGATAAGTCAGAGGTTCTGGAGAAAATGTACAATTTGGGAAACGTGCTCTTTTAGATGGTGCTAATTTACAATTAAAACAATCTTTCAATTATATGGAATTTATTGAAGACACTTCCTAATAGTTTATAATGTTTAGTTAACTTGCTCAATAGTTCACTGTATAGCAATCTATATACATATAATGTACAAATCGATATATTAGGAAATAACTACAAAGAAGTTTAATTAATTAATATTACTGATGCATCAGTTTCGTTTGGTAGTTTAGCTCTTAGAATCTATAATATCACTAGGCTACGTAAAGCAAACTAGAAGGAAAGCGATTTGAACCTGTGATTTATTGGTTGTAATACGAGTGCTTTAATTACTAAATTATAGCTCAATAATAAATAATTTAAAATATACTATCGTTTTATAGCATTTAGGAATATACCAGACATAGAATTAAGTCAGTATGAATTCATCTATTTGTAAAACTAACTAATTCTAGTGAAATTTGGCACAGTTGTATACATCAGTTCACTGATAAACTGATACTGATTTGTTCTCAGTTGTGAGCCGGATACATTTAAATTATGTTTATTAAGTGATTCTAGATAGTATAAATTTATAAGACCAAAACTTTCATGAAGACTAAAAAAGAGTTTATTTGTATATATTGGTATATAAAGTAAAAAGCACTAATACAAGCTTTCTTGAGATACATGAATGAATATACTGTAGTATATTATGGTATCATTCACAACTACGGTACTCCTAGAATACAATAATAGAATTGTAAAACAATATTATATTAACAAACGGACATCTTAGGGTTGAAAATTACTTTATAAAGTGAAATTGAGATTAGTGAGTAGTACAGTGAACGAAGACTTGATGAAGAAAACCAATTTATATACAGAATGTCTTTGTGAAATATAAAAAAAACATACATTAAATACTTTATTTGCACATTACCCATCAGTCCTCTCTTACAAACTTTATCGTCCCTTCATTTCTGCTGTTATTAATATTACTCTCTGTTTATACTCCTATTTTTCTTCAATTCGATCTTCTTAACCTCCTGATGCTCTGAATTTATTTTTGATTGGTGTTATATATTACTTATGTGAACAAACATAAGTAGTACATAGTACAGTAGAAAGGGATAAATATCAAAGATGGAACCATTCAACTTACAAACTATCCTTTTATGAAATTGGATTTTGAAACTATTGTTATCACGTTATATTAATTTGTAAAAGTATTGTATTACAATTTTTGAAGAGTCCCTACAGAATAAGTGAAGTTAGATTCTTTATCAAAAAAATTACTAAATTTATTAAAGTAGCAACTGAATTTTTCATAGCGCAATGTCTCAAAGTTCAAACCGTTACTTGAAACTGATTGTATTATAAAGCAGTCTTTACAATAAAATCTCCATCATAAATTCCAGTTTTTATAATTAAGTCTTATTTTTCTATGGAAAGAGGTATTCTTTAAAACTGACAGAGTCCTTATGGTGGTCTTAGTTGATTTTCAATTTTACTTATGAAAATTACTCATTTTTATTCATATTAAACGTCATTCTAGTGAAAGAAGACATAATTTCTGGAAACAAACCCCACGTCTGTACTCATTTTAGGATATATTAAGAAAGCTATTTTCAGGACAAAATGAATAAGCAAATAATGAATAGAATGAAGAAGCGCAAATAACAAAATAGGCTATTTTTCTGAGTCACATATTACTGTATGGTAAATAAAACAAACTAGATCATCATAGATGGTATATATCCTTTTTAAATATATTTTATATATAGAAAGTTAGTGAACATGCACTTCTTCATCGCATTATTCAGTCATCATTCTTATCTTATTAGATGGTTGGATGTAGTTGACAGTCGGGTTTCCTACCAACAACCACCTAACACCTCAGTATAGTACACACGATATCTAGTCCCATAGGCTAGTGACTATATCGCAAGTTGATTGATAAGATTCGACCAGGTAACAATTCAGTGATAAACCATTCATAATTATCTGTGGATTTTTTATTCTTGGTAATTTCATCTTTCGTCTATGTAATTCATACTTTTTAATACAAGACTATGTTTATTTTTCAAAACACTAATTAAGTAATGATGTTATGAAACTTAGTTTTTGTCTATTATGTGCCAAATTTAAGTAACAAATAATAACAGAAAAAGTTACCAGACATAAACAACAAACGACTAGGACAGATGAAAGAACCGAAGAAGAAAAGACATAGAATAAGACAAAAAACACATCACAATATCATACGTTTTGGTAAAGAAATCGTATTATATTACTGCGTATAACATTTTAAATGTAGTCAGTAAATGAGGACAAGGCAAGACGAAATTATACTTGCTTTAGTTAATAAATAGAGCGTAGGGAAAAAAAGTGTTATCGTACATATGTATATTATTTAGTTGACCTTTCTATGATCACTCTCGTTTGTTTTTTTCGCACAATTTCAAGAAATCGGCTAGTCATCGTTTTGTATTAAACTAGGTTAAATGAAAACAAGTACAAAATTAAGACAGTCAATCATATTGTGAATTCACTTTTGTAAAACAAAACAAAAAATAGAAATAGTATCATGGACTATTGAGGGAACTGTAAATGTGAAGAAATTTCCTAAAGATAAAGAAGAATAGAACAGATAGGCTAAACAGAATTGTACACCTACATACTGAAGATATGAAGTGCGCTTTTCGAGTAGAAAAAAAACAAAACAAAACAAATACCTGATAGTCAGTTTCTTCCTATTCTTATATTTAGTTATTTTTAATAAACAATCTTCAAAATCACAAGTGTACATGTATATAGATTACATATATTTAAATGTAAGTAACAAGAAGACAGGATCTCGAATGATGGAAGTACAAAACAATATCTGCATCTAGATTTTAGTCAATTAATAGCCAATTAATAGCCAATTAATAGTCAATTAATATACATTATGTAGAAAATGACTCAATTGAGTATCAATTCATTTGTTTACTTTCAACAGTTGAGATCATGAGTCAATTGAAGTTAGAACACCATGAAAAACCTAGAAGCACTGGTCGGCCGCTGCGTCCTATTGTGGGACTCCTCAGTAGTGGGCCTCCACGACCCAGCCTGGAGGGATTCGAACCCAGGCGCCTCACCAACTAGACCACTGAGCCAGCTGGCATCCAACAGTGTTAATGTTTAACTTCAACTAATCCACGAAATTGAGCGACATATCCACCACTGTCATTAGTGAGCTAATATCGCACAACTGACCCGATTAAACTGCACTGGTCACTCCAGGATTTGTAACTTGAAGCCAGTCACTAGTGAGCATATGTTGATTAGTATCAGAAGGGGTTTTGTGGTGATTGTAGTAATTTCAACAATTGAGATCATGAGTTAATTGAAGCAAGACCACAATGGAAAAACTGGGAGCACTGGACGGCCGTTTCGTCCTATTGTGGGACTCCTCAGCAACGCGCATTCACGGCTGTTGAACCCTTCCTGATACTAATCATTTGTTTACTTTTCCAAATATAAAATGAATTTTATATTGGAAAAATAAAAGTGGATACCAATAAAAAGGATTGCTATAAACAAGATAGAATAATATTGATTAGATGAAATTTATTTTTCTACTGTCAAATAAATTTTGATTTGTATCAATCCAATAAGCGCATTTCATTTGATAGAATTGACAACTCTATGTATGTAAATTAATTGAGAAACACAATGATACATGAAATATGTGGTTATTATTTTTGATATAAACTATGATTCATTAATATACTTCAGAAGAAATAAATTTTTCTTTTTAAATCAAGGCTACCATAAAGCTTTTTTTCTTTTTTTTCAGTAGTTTGTCAGTTTATTATACTTTTACTGGTAAGTGATTGTTTGTTTGTTTGTTTTTTAATCGAAATATTTGGAAATGTTTCTCAATGTTAGTCATTATTATTGGATAAATAAGTCTGGATCAGTCAGAGATTCTGGAGAAAATGTACAATTTGAAAGAAATGCTCTTTAAGATAGTGCTAATTTACAATTAAAACTGTTATATCTAAAGCTTATATTCGTGATATACCGCGTGTAACTTGAGCACTAGAATGCTAGAACCCTTCCAAGTCGCAATAAGAAGACAGAAGACTAGTGAAAGGAATGTTATTCCAGACAGTGTTGACGATTCTAGTCGAAAATACACTCATTTATATATTGACTGTACACTCATTTTGATTAATAATTAGGATGAAATCACATTTATGAAAAACACTTACAGTTATAACAAATCACATACTGAGCATAGTTCATGTCAATGGAATACGAGAATATTGCATATTATACTGAATAAAATATCATACTAGAAAAGAAAACCAAATACTACACTGAATGATCATTACATTGAAACAAAATGGAAGTGATCTTCAACTAAAGTCATAATGAGTAAATCAACCGAATTCCGATTTTTTCTTTCCATCATATCAAAAACAATCAATCTTCCAATCATATGAAATTTATTGAAGACACTTCCTAATAGTTTATAATGTTTAGTTAACTTGCTCAATAGTTCACTGTATAGCAATCTATATACATATGATGTACAAATACTAAGAACAATGTAATCGTATTATCGATATATTAGAAAATAACTACAAAGAAGTTTAATTAATTAATATTACTGATGCATCAGTTTCGTTTGGTAGTTTAGCTCTTAGAATCTATAATATCACTAGGCTACGTAAAGTGCCAGAGAAAATCATTAATATTATGAAGAATTCTTGAGATCAACTATACTAAAAACTAATGCGTGGAACACAGCTGACAGACACATTTCAAGTAAGGATGGGAGTCAGACAAGACTGTTAACCAATTTCCATCTGAAGAGGGAATTATGAGAAAACGTGAGAAGTGGATTGGACACACATTCAAGAAATCACCAAACTGCATTACGAGGCAAGCGCTAACTAGGAATCCTGAATGGAAACGATAAATAAGAAGGCCAATCAATACACTTCGTCGAGAATTGGATGCAGACATCAAAAGTATGAGTAGCTTCTGGAAAGAACTGGAAAGGATTGGGGAGGACAGGGTTGGATGGAGAATGCCGGTTGGCGGACTATGTTCCACTATGGGGAGGGGGTAACAGGAGTAAGTAAGTAATTATTGCAAATTGTGTGCTGCTGCTCTATTTTATCATGATATCTGAACTCTATTCAGGCACAATATTGAGCGATTCACATAGCAACCTTAAAAATTATAAGAGGAAACTCAACAATGGTAATTAGGCTTCATGGCATAAGCGATCCTATTTTAAAGAAAAGTGGACAATTGCTTTAGCACAACGCTAAAAATCTTTCTTGGTCAATTAAAGGAACATTGTATATAAAGCCGATTTTTGACATTAATAGAATGATTGAAATTTAAACTTAGATTATATTTGAAAAGACCCTCATGGTTCATAAGGCGATTTGTTCATTTTAAATAAACTACGATATCTTGTATAAAGTTTGGAAAAGTCCTTAGTTTCCCGTTTAGAGAAGTTTACTTGAAAACGTTTAAAAATAGATTCTAACAATTAAGGGTAAGGCAAGTATGTAAGATATTGAACTACCTATAAGTGAAGGCATACGGTATAAGTGATTTCAAAGAAGATAGTTTATCTGTAAAACTAGGAGGAAAACCTACTTTATCTAACAAAGTATAACAGCTTCATGTTTAAACACACAGAAAGAAACAAACTACAATATACTTATGTACACGAGATTTCGGATGTAGCTAATTTTACTTATTCTTTAGAAGTTATGCTGTGTTAGAAACCAAGTTGAGCTATATTCAAAATAATAACACGTTATAACATAAGTAACCTATAGTTAATGCTTATCGAAATCTGATGTTTACACCAATAAAAAAATGAAGAGCACTTGATAGATATTTCTACCTGATTATGACTTCTTATCAGTTTGCACTCATTAGACTATGAATATAGTTCAGCTATAATGTTTTTAAGCTTTGGGATGAGTATAATTTATTTAAACTGCCTAATTAGGACTCGGTAATTTATTCACTCGATCTCACTCTATTAGTGATACTATGCCATTCTTATCAGATATTATTAGTTAATCACTGTCTTATTGTAGTGAAAGGAACACGGGCGGGGACGATCGAAATATATTTAGCACAAAATTACAAATTTACTTGGTAAAATACTATAATAATTAATTTGCAAAATGTTCAATAATTGTCTCGAACTTCGTTGTTCTTGCATTTCCATACTAATTTCTCTCTATTCCTGCTCTTCCTTTCTTGATCTTCTCCATCTTCTGCTGCCAGACATTACATTTTTGACTCGCGTCATATACTACTTATATCAATATAAGTAGCACGCATTACATTATCTCTATACTTTGTTGACTCCATAAGTTAAAGATTCTTATTGAAATTTTAAAAAAAAATCTATCTAGAATTTAATTATTACTACTTTCGCGATCATCATTAAACTAAGTCGGTTCCTGAAGTTTTGGTTTCTATATTTTCAAGTTATTTCAATCATGAATCTACTTTAAATGAAAGGTTACAAGCTGAGACAAAACAGATGTTTTATAGTATACAGTTTTTAATAATTATTCACTTGATATTGGATATGATGATGATGATGATGATGAAAAATTTCATAAACTTATACAGAACCACTTGCAAAACTTACTAATGTATTTACTCATAAACACACATATATTATTTATCATTGTCTGGTAGGTCAGTCATAGAAATCAAACTAATGAATTTATCTACATTCACATTTAATGACAATCATTTTGACTGTGCTGTTTGAAGACTGAATAACTTTATCATCTTGTCTACTTGATTTATTTAGATAGTAATGAAATAGATAACAGAAGTTAGTTATAAATGATTTGTCTTCTTTTATGATGATAATTTTATATTAATTTAAACAAGCTGAATTTCTGGACATCTTATCCATCAAGATAAATATTGTCTGTCTATTGATAAGAATAAAATACATGAGTTTAAGTAAATGATTTTCACGAGATTTTAGACAAGTACTTTTTGATGGGTAAAATAAAAGGTCACTCTTTTTTAATGAATGACCCTTTCAAGTCTAGAATGTATTGATGAAGGTGTAAAATGCAATTATTTTGATCTTTTCCTGATGTGGTGGATTTTGGTTTAATGAATTGTTTATAATTTTTCGATGTTATTCTATAATTCCTATGAATGAAAAAGGCATTTTAGTTTTAACAAAAATAAGTTTACCTAGTAAGTTTATTAGATATGATTGTTCGGTTTAATGAAATTCAAATTTTCTTATTAAAAAAGTACGTACTGAATGTTAGTACTAAATCATGAAACGATTAACTCAGTTTGCGACAGATGATATCCTGTAAAAGGGTTATTGTTAAAGCCATCAAAATAGTGGGTTTATGACGTTATAAATATTGTGCAAGTTGATAGTAGATAGATCTAATTATTTGTACTATTCATAATACTATCACTGGCTCATCTTGTTTTCCATAGTTGTTTGATGAGTAAGTATTTCTAGTCATAAAAGGACATTAGTGAACAAGATTTCTACGCCACTCACACAAGTCTTTACTGATGTGATTTGGAATGATAAATATCAGTATTATATTTGCTTTGTCTTTAGGTTTTAAATAGACTTGGAATAGTCAACACAAAATATTAAAATCATTAGATAATAAGAAGTGTGTAAATAATCAGATAATGAAGAATACAAACGGCAAGAGGCGGAAAATTACAAACAAATACTAGGTGTCAAAATAAGGCTAATGATAACAAAAATGGAATAAAATAAATAAATAAATAATGATAATCATTATATAAAAAACCGTTAGTTAAGTTATAACTGGCCATGAAAGAAATAGGGGGGTTACGAATTTCTTCTGTACACATAAATTGGGGTTTTATGTACGAATTCCTATGGTTTCAGCTATATGTAGGAAGCGGGAACGAACTCTGTTGGGAAATGATGGAGGTATACGATAGATCACTCTAAATGTTTTCGATTTATCTACAGCATGACCGCTATCCATGAGATGTGTCAAGATAGAACTGCAAATTGTTTTTATCTGGCCCTTTATAAACCAAGGTGGTAGATGTTCACTCATTCGTTGATTAAGTTGCCTGGTAGAATAGTTCAAGTTTAATACTGTCAATATCAGTATTTCGTTCTACCTAGTGAAATATTAAACGACAAAAAACATTTCGTAAAACATCACGAAACACGATATGAATGTAGGTTATGAAAAGTAGAACAACAATAACAACAAAATAATAATTGAAAAATATACAATAATTTTTCTGAGTAGTTTTTCAAAAAAATTAATAATAAGCTATCCTACTCATTATATGGTTATCTCAACTAAAATAATTCTGTTTAATTCTGAACTTTATAACCATTAACTCAAACAAACCGTTTTTATACCGTTAATGCCAATCTTTTAATGTTGGTTCATAATTTGTTTTAAATTAGTTTAAATTCATTTTGACATTTTTATCCTCTAATTGAAATAACTGTTTGATGCCGAACTGAAAAAGTGAATGTGTCTTATTGGATAGTAGCTAACTAAGCGAACAATTAGGTTCACTTTGTTATTATTTGTTTGAATCTTCCCACTGATGTTTCGGACTGCGATTGATCAGTCACTTGTTGGCATATGTGAATATTATGCGTATTAAACTTCACCCCATTGCATAAACAAGTGGCTATCAGGACTCAGTAGCTAAATGAACGACGCGATGGCGTTTAAAGCGAACGGTAATGGGTTCCAGTCATGGGGTAAACACCAGCTTTGGGATGCAGATACATTCAGATAACGAGTTCCAAATAGGGTGAAACACTCTTGCTGAATTCCACTGCTAGCCACCATCCATCTTTGCATATTGACGAACAATTGTTTTATTACCTTCTTATATTAAATGAATCTTTAAGTGACTCATGTCGGTGATAATAATTACTTTCATAGTAATTCATTTTATATGTACATAAAGAAATGATTACTGTATGACATTTTTTAGACGTTATGATATTCCAACGAGTCATTGTATTGCATAGAATAACTAAAAACAATCATATGTATTCGAAAAGAAACAGAAACAACTGTGCTATCAACAATAATAAACAAGATTGAATCATGTGATAGTCATTGATAAAAATAGATAATTGTCAACTAATAATTTGCATTAATTTGTGTAAAATTAGTGATGTCATTATTTGTTTCATGAATCTTATGTAATAGGATAAGGAAATTATTTTCAACAAACATATGGGATATCAGCCTACTCATAAGTAAATATAAAGATATGACGAAAATTAGAATCGAACGTTTATTTATATTTTAATATACCGTAATTATTAGTGGATGAGATCATAATAATGGATGTTAAACTGTTATCTATTTAGAATACGTCAACTAATATTGACTGTTTGGAGTAATAGTGTTTACCTAACATAATATTTACATGAAAACTAAATGGAAATATCATAAAGAAATGATGTACAGATTATCAGAAAACGTAATTTCAATACAACTTTACTTGTTGAATTCTAATGGTTAAGTTACTTAGGTTATTTGTTATATTTTTATTTAATGAATAAACTAAAAGTAAATAGTCAAGTAGAAGACATTCTGAGAATTATGAGTTTTGAATTCTCGGAGTTATCAACAGTTTAAATATTGTTAGTAATGATTCAGTCTTATAATTTGTAATCTAAGAGCAAAGCTGAATATTAATTTTTATCATTAATTCAGAGATATTTTTTCTGTTATTAACTCATGAGTAGATCGTTACTATCTAAACCTAATGATAACGAAACAGAACGACATTTACGCAGTACCAAATGCAATTTACTCTGGAAATGATTGTTAGCTTCCAAAAGTGTTATATTGAGAAATTACAGAATAATATTTTCCACTTTACCGGGTTTTTTTTCTCAAATTACATTTAATAAGAAAAAAGTCTACTTGTTATTTTTATAAATTTAAATTAAGGCAAGTATTATTATCCTGAAATTCTTATACCTGCATTTAATTGATTTGATTGTATTAGAAGGGGTTTTGTGGAGATTGTAGTAATTTCAATAGTTGAGAACATGAGTCAAGTGGTTAAGCGCTC